TACTGGGGGGCGTGAACCATGTTAAACATGGTGCCACGGCTCACATCTGCAAGCGGCACATCAATACCACTGTGCCACTGGGGGCGTGAACCATGTTAAACATGTCGATCGTGGTGCCACGGCTCACATCTGCAAGCGGCACATCAATACCACTGTGCCACTGGGGGCGTGAACCATGTTAAACATGGTGCCACGGCTCACATCTGCAAGCGGCACATCAACCGCATTACCATGTTAAAATCTTTCATATCAAGTGTGATTGACCTCCTATTGTACAAGATAAAACCTTTGACCTCCTATACTACAAGATAAAACCTTTGACCTCCTATAGTACAAGATAAAACCTTTGACCTCCTATAGTACAAGATAAAACCTTTGACCTCCTATACTACAAGATGCCCCCCAGTGGCACAGCGGTATGTCGGCGGACTTACAACGCTAGAATCCGGGTTTCGATACCCGTGGTGGGCAGAGCAAAGATAGCCCATTGTGTAGCTTTGTGCTTAATTACAAACAAACAAACAAATACTACAAGATAAAACCTTTGACCTCCTATTGTACAAGATAAAACCTTTTCTCATACTTTTACAACTATTTCATGAATAGTTTATCATAATAAGTTTACACTAGGTTTCATTCTGGACTAAGAGACAAATTCATAAGCACATATTTTCTATCTAATGAAATTAAGAAGGATTAATTAATATATTATTAAAGAAGTTTATTTGAAAACAAATAGGCTAGATGAGTATTACAGATTTTTGTATTTATCATTCCAAGCGATAAGCTTTTCTGATACGAACAGCCACAATTGCACAGAAATAGAAACACCATCAAATAAATCTTAAAAAAAGACGAATAACATATTTATAAGACAATTTATAGAACAGTTTCTTCCTATTACATAAGTTAGCGATTTTAAGTAGGCGTGTCTTGGTGTTTATATATAGTCTAACTTACTGTTAACTGTTATATTGTATATATATATATATATATGGGATTTATTTTAGCAGCCTAATCTTTATTTTTATAACATATAGTACATACAACTTTTTTAAAACCACTACTTCTAACTAGCAGAGTACCCGGATGAAAAGGATATATTAATCGTGATTTTCTGCAAAAAAAATTCAAAATTATTTCTTTACCTATGTATTGGATCGTAAAGAAATGTATGTCGAAACGCCTAAACGTCAGGTTAGCGTAGTCTATATAATGTGTAAAGTTTAGTATACTCTAATCCCTTATAGTGATAGCACACGACGACACACACATTTGGCATGTAATATTCATT